TCGGAAATCCATCGACGACAAATATTGTGCATGGTGTAGTCGATCGAAGGAATTGTCTATACGAGGTAACGGGTAAGCGTCCTTTTTCGTACCCTGATTGAGCTTGCAGTAATCAATGCTGAAACGTAAGGTGCCGTCTTTTTTTTTTTTTGCCAATACTACCGGCAAGTCCCAAAGACTTTCTGACGGCTAAATAATGTCATCCTGAAACATCTTTCGCACCTGACATTCTATCGCCTCACGTTCCCGCGGGGCTACTCGATGTGGGTTCTGCTGTGTGGGTCTGGCCGTCTCATCCTCAATGATCCGATGTTTCCTCAACGGCGCTTGGCGAACTTTGGACGATGAAGAAAAACAGTCCTGAAACTCATGAATAAGCTCCAGAAGGCTTTGCTTCTGGGGGGACAGTAAACTTGGGCCAACGTCGATAGAGGGGCTGACCCGGTGACATCAGCTGTCTCCGCAGTCTAGCAGCCTGCAACGTCAGTGAGCTCCTCCACATACGCAACTGCCATACCTCTCGCAAGATGTCGACGCTCAGTACTGAAGTTCGTTATGAGAATGTGCGTGTGTCCACAATTAAGGCTTACGATAGCTCTTCCAATTGGTTCGGCGATGTCGAAGTTACCTGGGTGGTCTCATGTTTCAGCTACGAGAGCACTTGACCGTGGTAAAAGGGTCACGGGATCTTCGAGGACTCGTAGATGTTTATGTCGTTAGTCGTTACATCTTATATCTGAAACTTGATCTGGGGCCATCCAAAACGTAACTGACCTGTCTGGAATGTCTATGACGACACCGTATTCACACAGAAAATTCATCCCCAAGATAAGGTCTTTGCAACACACCTATACTGATTCTGGCAGTGCACTTTCCTGTCGGCGTCATCAGTTGACCCCCGCGGTTCTTATGTTAGGCTCCGTCCATGAATTTTTTACTTTCTTAAGCCAATCGGCAAGCTTTCGGCTCATGATAGAGAAATATGCGCCAGTATCTACTATAGCGCTGTCACAGGACGTCCACCTATGTACAAACAGCTAGGTTGGTGCTTACGATTTCTTGTGGGGTTGGCGGCATTGCATGGTTCGTCGTATTGCATTGGTACTGGAGGTATTGCACCATCTCGACGGGCGGCAACCTTCCCTCCAAAAGTTGCAGCTGTTAGTTTCTTTGATGAGAACTTGGGGACCTGCCCTGGAGAGCGTCAGCGTAGCTACCACGGTTCGGCGAAGAGCTCGGCGAAGGTGACGGAGAGCGGGATCGATTATACATAGCAGATGGCTGTGCTTGTGGGTGTGCGCTGTCATGTCGGGTGTCGAAATGAGGTCGTGAAAAAGTCGGCGCATAAGTCGGGTATCTTTGTTCACGATATAGGCAGATGCGGTGAACATGCGCAGCTTTTCCGCAATTTATTAGCGGCTATGTTCGTGTTCAATTGCACGTAAATGAATTTGTTTTGCTGGGTGCAGTACTGGTTCTAAGTTATGTAAGTGTGTATTTTTCTGGTGTATTGTTCCCAGTGATTTTGTGTTTGTGTACAACTAGTGTTTTATTGCCTACTAGATAAGAACTGTCTTCTATGCCGTCTTTAAGTATGTTCCAATTGTTCAGTGTTTGTATGCAATTAACACCATTTTCTCAAAATGTACTTATGGAATTTTGTAAAGGCCTCAAGGCCCCTCCGGGCATTTCTGCCTCCAGCCACTACGTCATCGTAGACGCTCTGACAGATGTGCCGCTGTACAAATGTGAAACTGAAAACTGTATTGTGTATCCAAGAACTGATGCCCTTCTGCTTTGGTCTCGTATGAGACTGGCAGTATCGAAAATAAACAAAACACAGTAGACAGCGGTCCACGGTGCGCCACAGATCTGTCTTGCGAACAAATGGTCGACTGGTGGGAACCCTCGGCGACCAAGTTGCAGGTGTCGGCGGAGGGTAGTACGGAGCTACCGTATGTGTGTTATATTGTGGAGTCTCGTTGGTGGCGGCGGCGGCGGGGCCGGTGGATTGTAGACTGATGCCGGTGGCGCGTTGTAAGAATAAGCCAGTGCGGACGAGTTGTGCGGCACTGGTGACGGATGACGGGCAGCTGACGCATAGTTAATAGAGAGCTGGGCTGGTAGGGATTCTGACAGTGAAAATGCTTGCCTGATTTCCTGCCACACAACTTTTCGAACTAAAGCCATCGCAGGTTTTTGAGGAGTCGCAAGGAAGCTGCGGATCTCCTCATGAACAACCTCGCGAATGAGCTCACGCAGAGAACCGTCACTGCCAGCCGTCATAGCAGAGACGCTGATTGAGGCATTGTTCGGTCGATCGCAATAGCGACACTGTTGCTGCAGGGCTTGCTTGCTAGCTGTAGCCTCTTTGATGAATTCAGCAATGGTCCTCGGTGAATTGCGAAGCTGGCAAACAGCTGTGCTTTGACGTCCCACATCAATGGCCAAGTTTCTTGGCTTCAGGCATGTCAGGGTCAGCCCGGCGAAATAGGCAGGTCATGTCTTCTGCAAACATAGGGACACTCTCATTCGGTTTCTGGATGCGAGACTCGATGAGTTTCTGAGCAAAATCACGGCGGTTATTGTTTGCGAAGGTGCTGAGAATCTGCTGCTGAAGCTCATCCCATCAAGACAGCGTTGCCTCGTGGATGTCATACAATGTACGAGTGCTGTACGCTAAAGCAAAGTCAACGCGTGAAAGCTTTAGCTCGATGCTCTAGTGGTTGGCTTTGGCGACTCGCTCATACTGGGCTAACCAGTCTTCAATGTCTTGATAAGCCTCACCATTGAATCTCTCCGGAATCTGAGGCTGGTCAAGAGTCAGCTGGGAAGCACCTCCAGTTGCCATTTCTCCAGGTGGAGTGCGTTGCTGGGGAAGATACAGGGGAATTGCGTCGGGACTGAAGCCTCGCTGTCGGCGACTGTAGTGGTGGACAGGGGTATCCATTGAAGGAAGAGGTTGCGGTGTCGGACTTGAAGTGCCGTGTCGTAGAGGAGTCCCGAGCATCAGTCATAGAAGTCTAGCACCTCCACCAGTGTCGCAACATGGAAAGAACAGGACACAAGGCTTCGTTTCGACGAGAACAGCAAGTCTTCATTCGTACACAAGCACAAAACGCAAGAGCAGACGCGCAACGTCGTCTTCCTTGAAAAACGCCAGAAACTGCCACTCGTGATGCTGGCTTCTTCCTCCTCTGTTGCGCTTACGGCTAATAATCATGACAATATCAAGGTTGTCTCCCGCTATTACATTGTTACATGGAGGTCGCAAATACATGTGCTTTTATGGTGTAACGGCAGGAAATAGAAAAACTTCAATATATCGAGGAATACGTTATATGGAGGTTCGTTATAGTAGGTTTAACTGTATGACATTTCAATAAAGAAAATGAAGTAATTCACTCTTTTGTGTAGGTTTTTGTAATTGATTGCAATCAACACGAAAAACATTTAATTTTCCTGTGGTTAGTTATGTTCCATTCTGACATAGAATGAAATCATAAGCTTAAAATGTGTGCGTAATTAGTTCTTGGTTGCATTCACTTCGAGACTTGATTTTGTGGAATATGACACATTGAACTACTCGTCAAACATTGCAGTGCCTTTGTCAAGGTGGTCGGCTACACTCAACATGCTGAATATGCAGAAGGTTAAATTCATGCAATCGGCAATATATCCAGCTCTCTTTTGCCCAAGTAGACACAACTAGTATAAAAAATTTGCATACAGAAATGTAGCCACTGCCACTGATGGGGTTATGTCAGCTTGGGAAACTTCGGTGAAATGGTAGAAGTCCTTGCAGCATGCGATATCAGTGTACCAGACCATCTAAATTTCCAGAGCCCTACACTACGGCGTCTCTCATAATCATATCGTGTTTTGGCACATTAAACCCGATCTGTGATTAATTTTGACCTCACACTAATTCAGGCCGGAAATGGGACGTGTTTATTGGTTGGTTTCATGTGCAGGGATGCAAGGGTGCTGCGCTACTTGCGCCCTTCTGCTTCAAAGCACATTATTACGCTGAAGCTGCTCCCAAGTGGCCTTTTTTGCCTCTATGCATCGCTGTGACATGGCTCGATGAAGCAAGCTCCTACCATCATCTTCAAACCTGGCATGCTTTTGCGAGCTCGTGACGTTGGGGATGGCGTGAGTGGGAAAGCATAGGAGGGTATTAGCTTCACTCAAATGATTGTTCAGCAATTTTTTCGTTTCCAAAGTGCTGCTGGCAGAGTTTACTGAACCCTTCAGTTGTCCCATCTTCTCATTTGCCTTCAAGAGTTGAATATGATATTCTATTCCTAGCGTGCACTTCAAACACTTAGTGTATGAAATCTTTTCGAACCTGCTATCCACCCACTACGTGGCCTTAAGGGTGCAGTAGCATGTGTTACTTTTGTAATGGGTGACTGGCTTTAAGATATGAAGTCATTATGATAATCCCATGTTGCGGTGCCCAATGGCAGTGTACGCTTGTACTACGCATTATTACGGCAACAGTTGTATTGTGAAGCACATATGCAGGACGCGTCTGTTTGTAAAGCATGAAAGTTACTTTGACTGCATTTGCATGTGGAGGAAGTTATTTTCACTCTATTCACAAGGTTAGGCGTGGCTGTGTCGTAGAACATCCGCTTGCCACTAAAACGACTCAGGTTCGATCCCCACTCAGACCCACAATTTTTTACTATTTATTTTGTTTGCATATTTCTCAATTTTATTTCACATAAAGATAACGATTTTTTGCTCACAGCCAACGATTGACCTTGAAGTTGTCGCCCGTGCAGTGGCATCAAGAGAATTGCACAGTTCGAGAAGAAGTCTTGAAATTACGGGGCCCCTCTGCTGCCCACCTAACTTTCTGCCTTCCCATCGCACGCTTGCTTATGCCTACCAGGCCATATTATCCTGTCTGAGAGCTTTGCAATGGGCTCTGACGTTGAAGCTCTTCCTTCAGCGGCTTTGACAATGCATCCTTGTGCACTCTTTTCCAGGCAACAAGCCCTATTCCACGTCTTAGCAGCATACTCTGTGTACAACACAGTGAGTTTTTTTTCTTTTTACTGCACGTTGTTTTTGCATTGTATTCATGGCTTGTGTTCCTTCTCAAACTGCAAGCACATCCTTGTTAAGCCCCATGTTGGCTCCATCTCAGACTTGACTCAAAAGCTGTGGCATGAAATGTTCATTTCAGACACATTCAGAACTGTACGCAAGTGGTTTAATTGTATTCATGTTGCAACTTCTCAAGAAAATTCTAACAGACTTATTAATTTGTGTATAGGATGGATTAGAATTCGCTGCAGTAAAGCCTAGCTATTTCACTGACAACAGATGGTTTGTAGATTGTGATAGCAAGTGAGTTTTATACCCACATGCAGACCATAATTACTTGTGTGATTCCAATACACAGGCCTTATTGGTCTTGTTTTTTCATTACTGAAACCAATTGAAGTTTGTATTACACTCAAACCTCAATATAACATAGTCAAATCTGCCCTGAAAATATATAGTAAAAAAAATTATAAACAATTATTTGTAACACTGTATTTATGGCAAAGCTATTTGTCGCTTACTTCATTATAACCAATAATTTGTCCATCCAAATTTGTTATCGAGGTTTGAGTGTAGTTGTACACAAGATTTAGTCTACTACTAGTATAGAACTGTGCAAGGCAAATTTAAATTTGCGTTATAATTTTTGGTAGTGAATTGAAATGAAAATGAAGCCCAGTGCAATATAAGGTATTGGAAATTCTTAAAAATTTTCAATTAGGATTGATGTGTGATGGAAACTACAGACACTGGCATTATGCAGGTTTATGACACATGTCAGGCACGAGTGGTGTGTAAGCATGTTTTTGTGAAGCATACAGTTTGGAACCCCAGAATGTATTGAGAGTGCAGGCACACTACGGAAAGGGTGCTGCCACGGTATTGGAGTGCAGCTCGTAAGCGCCCGTCCCTGCGTTGAGCGGCATTTCCATCGGTGGCATAACCAGTTGACATGAAAAAGTGACTATAGTAGGCATGAAAATAAAATGAGAAAAGTACACCGTATCGAAAGAAGCTAGGCCCTGTGCATGGCAGGCAAATATTCTACCACATGGCGATACTGCGGCTTGAAACACATTTAGGCGTCTTGCCGGGCAGGAAATCGCGTTAACCTATGTAATGTAGTGTGGCAGAAGAGTGAAATAAAAACCAGTTATGACACAGTGTTGTGCAGTCCCACCCACTGCAATGTGTTCAGTCATAATTCATCGTGATCAGCCTCATGCAGAGTCAACAAAGTGCACAGAAGCTTTGCTCCTCAGAAAGACAATATGTAGTGGGTGCTGTCAACAAAAATTACGACTCTGTCGTCGATACCCTGCGGTAAGGCAAAACAGCTAGCATCGTTGTAATTGTCTTTCTGCAGGAGGTTGGCTATTGCCAGGGGATGAGCCAGATTGCTGCCCTTCTGCTCATGTACATGAATGAAGAGGTGAGTACCTGGGCATCGTGTCACACTCTTTTTATGACCCAATTCACTGGGCTTATGTAAGAATTGTCATTCCAAGTGCGATGATACAGTCGAACCCCGCTACAATAAAACTGAAGGGGCGCGGAAAAAATTTCGTTGTACTGAAATGGAAAAAATATAGCCGATCTGAACTAGCAAAACAAAAGAACGTTTATTCTCAAAATTCAAAAACTGTTTGCTGCTTCCTATTCTTTCCCAGAAGCGTGACCACGCAATTCTCACCCATGCCTAGCGAGGCCATGGTGAAAAACATGCTGAAACAACAGCTTTCGTGAATGAACCAAACAGTTGCATTAACATGTTAACATGTTAACACCAGCAGCTGTCCGCCTTCAGAACGCAGAGATGGCAGCAGGGTATCCTGGAGCGGTGGCTTTTGCCTTATTTTATGCCATTCTTATTATCCATCACTCGCGGCTAGCTGATTAGATACCACACTGGCCAATCACAAACAAAGTGATAAGCATTGGACTCCGAAAAGGCATTGTTCCGCAGACGCAACCAGCAGCTGCACGAAGGAAACCATGAACTAAGCGACGGAGCTTCAGCTTTGGATCGTCTGCGGCTATACAGTAAACCCAATCTTTATGCATTTTCAGAACCTGAAAATGCATCAAAATGTTAAAGATTCGGTTTACTGTATAGCAATAAATATCTGAGCCTGAATTGGCATCGTGAAATTTTGGCGTCTCTCATAATCATATGGTGGTTTTGGGACGTTAAACCCCACATATCGATCAATCAATCAATTAGCATCGTGAAATTTCATTGAAGCGGGACGGCAGAAGAAAAAGTGTCTGTTGTGACGAAAACATTTATGCATTGACTCCTACGGACTGCCGACAGGGAAGCGTGAAATTTTCGTTGTAGCGGGAATTTCGTTCAAGCGGCGTTCATTGTAGCGAGGTTTGAATGTAATGCTTTTTTATTTAATGCATTTAAAAGTAAAGTATAAGCTATAATCGAGAGGCTAAGAACTACTACATTAGTAATACTATGAAGTCTTGGTTTGGAAGACCTTTATTAGGCCCGAGGAACCGGCAGCCGACAGCAGAGATGCACGAACCATGATGATGATACGTGACAACGATGAGGATGCATAAGCAATACATGATAATGATGATAATGTACAGATGAAGAGGATTGGTATACTAAATGTCCACACTGATTCCCCCCACGTGAGAGCGGCCAGCCTGGCTGCGGCAAGTCAAGAGGACAATTAACGTCGCATGAAGGGCTTCATACGGGAGACATGGACGACTTCAGTAGTTCGATAACGGCGATCTGCTGGGGCTACAAGTGGCGTCACGCGATAATTTACTGGTGAAGTTTCTTCAAGAACTGTGTACGGCCCGATAAATCGTGGCTGGAACTTGTCGCACAAACCAGGTGTGCGAATAGGCGTCAAAAGGAGCACTTCGTCTCCAGGTTGAAAGGATACAGCACGATGCGATTCATCATAAACCAGCTTTCTGTCTTGCTGTCGGGCTTCAGTGTTTATACGAGCACGTTGGCGGCTCTCTGCGAGCCGCAAAACGTATTTCTCTGAAGAGGATGGAGATGAATCCGCATGGCAGGTAAAGAAGGAGACGTCCAGCAAAGAATTAGGGGAGCGTCCGTAAACTAAGTAAAATGGTGAGTAGCCGGTTGTCCGCTGAATAGCCGTATTGTAGGCGAAAGTGACGAATGGTAGAACTACATCCCAGTTCTTGTGGTCTGGTTGAATGTAGGCGGCTATCATGTCAGCAAGAGTGCGGTGGAATCGCTCAGTGAGGCCGTTAGTTTGGGGATGATAACTAGAGGCAGTCTTGTGAGTTGTGCCAGAGGAGTGAAGAAGTTCGTTCACTAGTTGTAAAAGGAAGGCCCTTCCACGGTCGCTGAGCAATACACGTGGAGCACCATGACGCAGTATAATGGCTCGGAGGATGAAGTCGGTAATTTCAGAAGCTGAACCGGTAGTGACAGATGCCGTCTCGGCGTAGCGCGTCAAATGGTCAACGGCTGTTACTATCCATCGGTTTCCAGCAGCACTGACTGGAAGGGGGCCATAAAGATTGATGCCTACAACTTCGAATGGTGTGGCTGGGCATGGAAGAGGCTGTAGTGTACCGGCTGGAGCAGATGTGGGTAGTTTTCTACATTGGCAGGTAGTGCAGGACCCAATGTACCGAGCTACACTAGTGGTAATACCTGGCCAATAAAACCGACTTCGAAGGCGATCATAGGTTTTGTGGTAACCAAGGTGACCAGCCGTCGGATGGTCAGGAAGTGCTCTGAGGACTTCGGACCGAAGCGATCGGGGTAGAACGGGAACCCAGCGCTGACCGTCAGGATGGTAAATTTTGCGGTACAGCTCCGAGTTGTCCAGCTTAAACTGCGAGAGTTGGCGACGGAGCCTCGCATTAGGTGGACGGGAACTGCCAGTGAGGTAGCCTATAATACGTCGACAGTATGGGTCAGCCAGCTGTCGAGAAGAAAAATCGTGCGGGTCGTCCGAAGGCAGCTGGTCCATAGATGCGAGAGAGGAAACCGCCGTAGACGTGGACTCCGAGGGCGTGTTGTGCGAATTGATTGTGGAAACCCCGAGTGGAGTCGCTGGTAGTGGGCAGCGAGAAAGAGCGTCGGTGTCACTATGTTTCCTGCCACACTTGTGTACGATGGCAAAATCATACTCTTGTAGGCGTAGAATCCAGCGGCCGAGGCGTCCCGACAAGTTCTTGAGTGTCGAAAGCCAACATAGAGCGTGGTGGTCAGTCACAATTGTGAAATGGCGGCCGTGAAGATAGGGACGAAATTTCTGCACTGACCAAACGACGGCGAGGCACTCCTTCTCGGTGATCGTGTAGTTCCTCTCGGCTGCGGAGAGGACGCGGCTGGCGTACGCAACGACTCGCTCTCGCGAAGAGTTGTCGCGCTGGAGGAGGACGGCTCCTAAACCGTGGCCGCTAGCGTCCGTATGGAGGAAGGTCGGTGCACCATCGTGAAAATGAGAAAGTACAGGATCGGTCGTGAGGGCACTCTTCAACCTGTCGAAAGCCGATTCACATTCCTGAGACCACTGAAAGGGCGTACCAGAAGCAAGTAGCTTATGGAGTGGTGCGGCTATGGAGGCAAAGTTTTGTATGAATCGCCGAAAGTAAGAGGCGAGACCAAGGAAACTTCGCAAATCTTTCGGCTTCTCAGGGCGAGGGAAGCGAAGCACCGCAGCAGTTTTCTCAGGGTCTGGACGAATTCCGTCCTTGCTCACAACATGACCAAGGACCTTGATAGATCTGCTGGCGAAATGGCACTTCTTGGTGTTAATTTGAAGACCAGCGCCCGCAAGGCAAGTCAGGATCTCGTCCAAGCATTGCAGATGTTGAGGAAACGTTGACGAAAAGACAACAATGTCATCGAGGTAACATAGGCAAGTCTTCCATTTCAGGCCACGCAGCACGGTGTCAATCAAGCGCTCAAAAGTTGCGGGCGCATTGCATAGACCAAACGGCATAACATTGAATTCGTATAGGCTGTCCGGGGTTGCAAACGCCGTTTTTTCTTTGTCATCTTCGTGCATGGGGATTTGCCAGTAGCCGGAACGCAAGTTGAGGCTTGAAAAGAATTCAGCACCTTGTAAGGAATCGAGGGCGTCGTCGATACGTGGCATGGGGTATACGTCCTTCCTAGTGATCTTATTGAGTGCTCGGTAATCGACGCAAAATCGTACGGAACCGTCTTTTTTACGCACCAGAACCACTGGAGACGACCAAGGACTGGTTGAGGGTCGGATTATCTCCCGTTGCAGCATATCGTCTACGTTTTCCTCAATGATTTTCCGTTCGGCTAGGGAGACGCGGTAAGGACGACGATGCACAATGGATGTTCCGTCGGTCTGAATATGATGTGCTGTAGCAGTTGTCTGACCCAGGCTGGATGAATGAATGTCAAAAGAGTTTGCATGCTTTTGCAACAAATCAAGCAGCTGCTGCTTCTGTGAGTCTGTCAAGTCCTTGTTGATGGCTGCTGTAAAGGCCGAGGAAGCAGTATGATCTCCAAGATGGCCTTTAGGGGAGGCAGGGGTAAGAGGCACGACGCACACAGGCTCCAGATCGGCAATGCAGGCGACAGTAGTGCCCCGCGGCAGTAAAATTTGATCTGATGTGGTGTTCGTAGCAGCGAGGACAGCTGATCCATTGTTGAAGCGAGCCACACCTGATGCGAGAGCTATGCCTTTATTGAGGCAACGGGGCGATGGAGTGACCAAAATGTCACCAGAGTCAACGTCGTTGGACAAAACAGTGACTAATTGATGTTCATTTGGGGGTAACTCGATGTCTACAGCAGCGATGAGTCGAAGTGGCCTGTAGGTTTCATCACTAAGCAAGTGGTCTGTGTCAGTAAGATGGACGACACGTTGTGCACAACAAATAGCCGCGGAAGCAGATGAAAGAAAGTCCCAGCCTAAAATGAGTTCGTGGGAGCACGGGGATAGCACAGCGAATTGTATATAATGAAGAATGTCGTCGATTAGCACACGGGCAGTACAGAGAGCGGAAGGGCGAATCATTATTCCCTGGGCTGTAACCAGTGTTGGTCCATCATAAGGCGTCGTGACTTTTCGAAGACGGGTGCACAAATCAGCACGAATAATAGAAAACCCAGCCCCAGTGTCCACCAAAGCATCAACGTCCACTCCCTCAACTGAGACTGCAATCATATTGTAAGGGCGCGCTGGAGGAATTGGAGTACTGTGTTGGAATGCAGTTTCTCCTCCAAAAACTGCATCGCTTAGTTTTCCGGACGCCGATCAGAAGCGAGGGAAGCAGGCTGAGGAGGAGAAGAGGAGCGACGGTAGGGCGATGGTGAACGGCGTCTGGTTGATCGATGACTACTGTGCAGTTCACCGGATGCTGGCGGAGATGGAGACCGACGCGGCGGTGACGAATAACGACCGCACTGGTACAAGGCTCCTGCGGTATAGTCTCATTCGCGTATGTCGTACCCTCGGCGCTCATCTTGCTGGCGCTTGCGGCAAAAGCATGAAATGTGACCACGATAGCCACAATAATAGCACGTAGGGCGAGTCGATCGATAAGAAGGGTAGTAGCTTGTGTTAGATGCACCGGGAGAGAGAGCAGTGAGAGGGACAGATGATGGCTCAGGCGGTGGTGATGGAAAGCTCGTGGGAAAGCTTCTCGGAGGTGCGGCAGCAACGGACGCGTACGTTGGTGGCGGCGGCGTCGAGCGGACGGTGCCTGATGGTGCGGCGACGGCATGCGAGAACACAATGGGAGAGTACGAGCGACAGTGGGCTGCAGGTGGGCCATGTGGGTCATGGACGTGAGCTCCTCCCTGATGACATCCCGCAATGACGTTGAAGAAGACTGCATGGGACACACTGAAGGTAGTGTGAATCCCACTGATTCTAATTCTTTGCGTATAATCACCCTTATTGTGTCTCGTAGGCTTGGATCTGCCGTAATACGGGCCGCGTCACTGTCCGGTTGTAGGCGCATAGACTCGAGTTCTTCGAGGTGCTGACAGGTTGTCGTAACGTCAGCAACAGTAGCTGGATTCTGGATTGCAAGGGCATTGAATGCGACGGGTGCAATCCCCTTAAGAAGCTGGCGTACCTTGTCTGACTCTGTCATTGGGGTTTCAACCCGGCGGCAAAGTGAAAGGACATCCTCGATGTAGGATGTATACGACTTGCCGATGTGCTGTTTCCGAGCCGCGAGAGCTTTCTTTGCGAGAGCCGAACGAACAGTCGGTGTGCCAAAGACATGCCGAAGCTGATCTTTGAAGGCGGACCAGTCGGGGATGTCGATGTAGTGGTTGAGGAACCACGTCTTCGCGACACCCGTGAGGTAGAATGACACGTAAGCAAGTTTGTAGGTGTTATCCCACCGGTTAGCAGCGCCGACACGTTCGAAATCGTCCAGCCATTCCTCCACATCTTCCCCGCGCATACCGGCGAAGGGATGGGGCTCACGCTGGGGGCTGTTAATGACGTGAAAAGGCGCGGCACGCAGTGGCGGAGTGGTAACGGTTGCAGCACCGACCTCTTCTTGGTGCGACATATTTCCGGACACCTGGCCCAAGCGGCGACCTGAACGTAGCTCCAGTGGGTAGAGTGGTCGAGAGGATGACGAGGGATCTAACAGCACGCTCCACCACGTATGAAGTCTTGGTTTGGAAGACCTTTATTAGGCCCGAGGAACCGGCAGCCGACAGCGGAGATGCACGAACCAAGATGATGATGATACGTGACAACGATGAGGATGCATAAGCAATACATGATAATGATGATAATGTACAGATGAAGAGGATTGGTATACTAAATGCCCACAATACCTTCACTACACTTATGAAAAAATTCGGTCCAGGTTCTAGAGGTCGATTAGTCCCTAATCATCTACACCCTCATCGTTTATTCTTGGTGGCCAATATTCCTCAAATCCTGAAGGTATAGCAAATAACCTTGAATTATTACTTCAAATCTGAATTTTCTACCGATAACGGCATCAGTCGTTTATTTTCCGCGCTCAGCAAACTACCTGCTCTTTATAATCTTGAATTAAGCTCCTTCAGAGTACATAACGTGCTAAATTTTGAAGTTTCAATACGATCTGGCCTACATATGTTTCTGTTTCGATCTGGCCTACATATGAAAGTAGTATTCAGAATGGCGTGCTTACTATCGTACTGTTATATTTAAAAAATTAATAATCTCTGCAGCAGTTTCCCAGCTGTGGAATTTAGCAAGCGTTGTGCCCACATTTAATTCCAGAAAGAAGCAATTAATACCACATTATAGGTCATTATTTTTGCTTTCTACCAGCTCAAACTATTGGAGCATGTCATTAACAAATGTATTGTAGAATAGCCAAATACACGAAATATACTTTGACGATTACAGCACGTCTTTCGTACTGGCTATTCTACTGTTACACAGTTGCTTCAATTTACGCACGACATTGCTTCTTCTCTGAACCACCGAAAACGGGTTGATGTCATATTCATTGACTATTCTAAAGTTTTTGACATGGTTTACCATGCTTAACTTTTAAATTTTTCGTAAATGTTTTGCCAACAGTAAGCTGGTTGATAGGATAACATATCTCTGAACCACCAAAAACGAGTTGATGACATATTTATTGACTATTCGAAAGTCTTTGACATGCTTTACCATGCTAAACTTTAAATTTTCCAGAAATTTTTTGCCAACAGCAAGCTGGTTGATTAGATAGCATATTATTTGCTGTCGCGCTCAAAATTTGTTACGTGTAACCACACCAGGTCACCCGACGTACACATCACATCAGGAAGGGGCCTCAAGGCTCGGTGCATGGTCCGCTTTTGTTTATTATTCATATAAATGACAGAGAACAAATTATTGGTGACACTCAAATTAAACTTTGAATGTATGTAGATGACTGCGTCATTTGTAGAACCATTCATAATACTCAAGATCAGGATGCGCTGAATAGTATTGTTTTTTCATTGTTTTGTGACGGGAGGGAAACATGGCAAACTTCAAGAAGACTGTCGACCTTTCAAGTAAAAAACAGTGATTTCATTTTACATGTACTAATGACGGTGCAAGTCTAGTAGCTATTATGTAGTTTGAATACATTCGTGTAATTCTCACAGGAACTTTAAATAGGTGTATGCATGTCGAAACAATCACTTTAAAAACTAGTGTCTCTGACCCACGTTAAGCAACTTGACAAAATAATACTGACTAACAGCGCGCAAGTCTTTGGTGAGACTTGAATATGCATTCATTGTTGTGTCGCCTCACCACTGACATGGTGTAACCTTGTTATAATCTTTTTAAGAAAAGCGATTCTGCTTATATTTTGTGGCTATAGTCAGTTTTCCTTGCCTACTTCGTGTACACATGTTTTGTTGATGCAGCCCCCCTTTTGAACGTCATCCTCCTGCATAGATAAGATAGTTCGCACTGGTTTGAGCGTTCCAGCACCTATATCCTTTGTTTCATCTTCTGCACACAGTATCTGGTGATTTGATCCTCTAAATATTGCACCCTTAGATCAATAGAATTGTTTTCGTTTTATTTGATCCTCTAAATATTGCGTCCTTAGATCAATAGAATTGTTTTCGTTTTACTTTGTTTGCTTTTCTGCAGAATGTGCATTCTTAGAATGAGCTTGATGGGTATCAGCACAAACTCTGTTCTGAGCAATTGAAAAAAAGAATGAACATTAGGTGCTGAGCATTAGTATTTACACCTGCTATGTCTCAAAAACTGAAAAAGTAGTATTGATGTTAAGACATGTTGCTGTCAATTTGACTGCTTCTCCTTTCAGCGAGGAGGAGGAATAGACGTTTATTTTTTTAAACGGTATAGCGATGCAGGTTCCGTTTCGACCCTAGGGTGGGAGGAAACTATTTATTTTTTTTCATAACTTAAGAGAGAAGTTGTTATCCCCATCAACACCTGAAGCTTAATCCTACCCCCTTCCTCTTTCCCACACCACGCAGTTGACACACCACCACAGGAGGTGGAAACATCGGTGGTGCAGTTTTGGTACCGGCGCACAGATCTAGATAAAACCCAACAAACACTGTAACCACGGAAAGACTGCCATGCAGCAACCATGCAGTACGGTGTTGTCCTTGCCGACACTCGCAGGTGTTACTAGATGCCTCGAAATGCCTGGCAAAGAAGGCAAAGGAATGCACTCCTTGATAGTTCAGTTGGTTGAGCATTGGACTCCTAATTCAAAAATTGTGGATTCGCATCCCGTTGATTGAAAGAGGGAACTGTCCACTTTAATTTCTTGCAGTTGGAGATACTGTCCCCTGTGCTTTTCATGGCCACTTCTGATGTACTGTCTACAAATGTAGTAAATTCACATAGCACAAGTCTCGCAACACTCAATATAACTTTCCAATAATGAAAACAAAACTTGTTGTGTGGTGTGGTTTTGAACAAATAATTCTAATTAATATGTAAATATTTTTTACCTACTCTTTAGTTGGTTATATGCTATTTGATATAAAAATCCTGAAAACATAGGCCTTAGATGTGTATGCAATCAGTTTTATGTTGCATTCGTTTTGAGAAAATGAAAATAACGCTTGTGACGTGTTCTGGAATGCAGCACATTGAAGGTCGTAGTATCCTACCAACAAAGTGATCGATTGAAGCCACACGCAAGCACTGTGAGGTCATGGAAAAGGCCCCCTTAGTGAGCAATGTATATAATGTTGCTGTCTCTTTTGGCCACCACTGGCGTAATAAACAAGTTGTGTATACATATGTAGCCATCGAAACTGAAGGGAATATATCAAGCTGTATATGTTTCGGTCACATCCATTCTAGGTCGCACATGTTTACATTCTCTGGTCCATCTGATATAATATCTACTTTATGGTAACCACTTTGTCTGATATCATTCTCTCATAAGCGTTTTCTGATTTTCATCATTTCAGGATGCCTTTTGGGCCATATCTGTGCTTATGACAGATGAGAGGCATGCCATGCATGGTAAGTCATCTCATTTACACATACCCTGCCAAACATTAACTGCAGACTTAGACACATATTCATATTTTTTTGTCAAACAAGCCCAGATTTTCACGCTCAATCTTGATCTTTTTTACGTTCTATCGTTCTGAAAATTCAATCTCTCGTAGCCTCCGTGCTTTTTCTTGGCAACTCTTCAGATTGAAAAATACACGAGAGGTACTGTTTGTTCCCAGCAAAGTTCAAATGCAATTACACGAGTCCCCTCATTGGGTAGAAATAATTTCACAACATCAATCGGCTTCGATTGAAATACAAACTTGCCTATAACAATCATATGACCATCTATTGGTTACATTGACCATACTTCACTGCATTTGTAATTTTTTTGTGCAGTCAATTTAAACTGCGTCCTCCTACTTTTACAAAGAATGCTTTAGACATGGTTGCCGTAAAAATATGCTAAAACAAAAAAGTTCAAAGTGGCTTTCTACTATGTGAGATACGCGCTCGTGCCTACACCACTCCACTTTCATTGGGACTACCGTAAAATCCTGAGCAAGTATCCCCATCTCTCCTTCTGGAGATTTAAAATATGCACCCCTTTCTCCCCACCTGCCATTTTTGCCCCCACCTGCCATTTTTGCAGTTTTATTAACCATTTTTATTTGTCTGGTGAATGCATGCGTATTCAGTAAAGCATTTATTTAGAAGCATAGGCATGCATTCTTTATTCTTAGCTGCACTTCTGCACCATCTTGAACTTTGAACCCTGACTGAGCAAGCCCTCCCCCCCTCCGAATGTTGTCAAATCATCCTTCACCGTAGCGTGAAGGAGGATTGTTATGGATTCTGCAGTACTATATCCTAAATAAACAAACGCTGCACACGCATTTGGGCTATCACGAGAAGGATTGCAAACTGGCAGTGAGGGCAGAAAAAGATTTATATACAGGGCAGCATGAAGCCTTGCAGCCAGCTTTCAGTGAGGTAACCTTTTCTGATGCTGTTTTCTAGATATAACGAAATGAACCAAGCAAACTAACAGTTTTGCTCTTCTTGGGATTTATTGCTCTCGGAAGATATCATGTGTTGTATGGCATTATGATGCATAGCCCATTTCAGTATGTGGTCGCAAGCTGCCTAGGAAGACATTCTTCAAAAACTTGTCCTGTTTTTCGTGATGTGTAAACCTGTGCAAATAGTAAATTTGGGTAATGTAGCTTGTAGCTAGTTTATAGTACAGTTAAACCCCTTTATAATTATGACACAGCAGTTCTTTTCTTTTATATGAGATGTCTCCTATAAGCTAGGTACCTCGTATGCATTTTCTTATCAACCCGTATTTTGCTGTAGGCACACCAGTGTCTCTTATACCCATCTGTCTCTTGCATAAGTGTCTTTTATAAAGGCGTACGACTTTAATCAGGAAAACCAAAGATAAAACCAGCGAAAAACCACACGGAAGAATAAGAGCCCCACAGGACAAGCGCTGGTTGTGTGTGGTTGTTCTTCCTTGCTTTCTTTGTGTGGTTTTCTTGCTAGTTTCATCTCTTCATCTCCTTAGTAAACTTGAGATTCGAAGCGAATACACTCAAACCTCGATGTGACAAATCCGGATATATAAAAATATCGGTTTTATTTATTTATTTATTTATTTATTTATTTATTTATTTATTTGTAGATACTGCAATCCCAAATGAGGGATTATAGCAGGGTGAGAAGTACAATCATAAATATTCCTTGGTGAACAAGAACAAAAATACGGAAGCAAAGTACAGTTCTCGGAATTACAAAAAAAGGGAAAAACTGATATACAAAATTCACGAATACATGATCAACCATGGCGACAAAATACAATTCAAAATGTACAGGATAATAAATATTCCAGAAACAGAGTCACATACGCAAGGATTGGAAAAAACACGGGTGATAATTCTACACAATTTCAAATATATACACATATATACATACATATACATACACACATATGCACACATATATATTATGCAGTTAAACACAAGGCAAACTTTTCAAGTGATGGCTGTAAAACAACGTCATTAGTTAGGTTGTTCCATTCCCCGACTGTTCTCGGGAAAAATGAATACGTGAAGCAGTTATTGCGTGTTTGAAAGGGCGTAATGGAGAGGTTATGGCGATGCCTTGTCGGATACCCAGAGGAGAAAGACAATAATTTGCTAGTGTCTATCTTATAGTGCTTCTTAATTAGTTGATATAAAAATTTGAGACGAGAAATTCGGTTTCTTTCAGTTATTGGTGGAAGATTAGCTCTCGCTAGCAGTGCACTAACAGATGTGCGACCATAACTGTTGTATATAAAACGGGCTGCCTTTCTTTGTATTTTTTCAATCTTCTTTTTATTAGTCAACGTAAAAGGATCCCATATAACGACTGCATAATCTAGAATGGGTAGAACTGTTGATTTGTACGCCAGCAAGCGCACAGTGGGAGTGGAGTGCTTGAGAACTCTCCTAAGAAATGAAAGTCTTGTGTTAGCACAAGCTGCAACATAATCGATATGTTTATTCCACGTCAAGTTGTTTGTAATGTAAACCCCTAGATACTTGTAAAACTGCACCTCAGCAAGGTATATATTGTTACAGCAATATTGGAACAAGAGGGGCTCTTTTTTGTGTGAAATGCGCATAAATACGGTTTTTTCAAAGTTTATGGGCATCTGCCAACTGTCGCACCAAGATTTAACTTTTTGAAATGCGGCATTTAACTTTATTTGGTCATTAGAATTTTTCACCTCGGAGTAAATAACGCAGTCGTCAGCATAGAGTTTTATGTTAACGGGTATGTCATTCACAATGTCATTTATATATAAAAGAAAAAGAAGCGGTCCAAGTACCGAACCCTGGGGGACGCCAGATTCCACAGAAACCCTCTCAGAGCATTTATCTTTAAATACAACATATTGCTGACGGCTATGAAGGTAAGATAAAATCCATTTAGTTAACTGCTTGTTTTTGAGTATGTTGTCTAGTTTGAAAATCAATTTTTTGTGAGAAACCTTATCAAACGCCTTTGAAAAATCCATAAAAATTGCGTCAGTCTGCTCACCATTATTAATTGTCAATGCAAAATCGTAAACGGTCTGAACTAATTGGGTACAAGTAGAGTAGCCTCTTCTGAATCCATGTTGAGACTCGGATAGGGCATTATGAGCAGTTAGAAATTCCGAAATATGATTATGAACTATATGCTCGAGCAACTTACAAACTGTTGACAATAGTGATATTGGCCTATAATTACTAATTTCATCTTTCTTACCCTTTTTATTAAGTGGTTTCACTTTGGCTGTCCTCCAATCGATTGGCAGCTGTCCTTCTTTCAACGATTTTGTAAAAAGGATGCAAAGATATTTGGCGACCCATTCAGCGTACCTTTTGAGAAAGGCATTGGGTATTTCGTCAGCACCACCAGATTTTTTTACATCAAGTTTCAAGAGCATGTTGAAAATTCCCTTTTCACTTACGGTAATGTCAGGCATCGGCGGTAATGGTGACACAAAATTAGGCAGTTTGCCATCATTAGTAAAGCAGGACAGAAACTGCCTATTGAATGCATTTGCAATTTTTGTGGCATCAGTAATTTGGACACCATTAATGGTAAAAGCATCCACATCAGTATAAGATGGGGAAATTGCGTGCCAAAACTTCTGCGGCGAACTAGTAATGAAACTAGGTAATGAAACTGAAAAATATTTGTCTTTGTCAGCTGCAACTTGTGTTTTAACTTTGTGAGACAAATCTGAAATTTTGGATTCCAGGTTTACGCAGTCGCCTACAGATCGACGTTTTTTCTTTAACCTCTTTAATTTTCTCTGCAAATGTATAGTAGAACGACTTATCCAGGCATTCACACGTTTGTTTTTCTTGCGTATCAATGGCACAAATTGTTCAATACATTCATGTACAAGTTTCGTAAAAGAAGCCCAAAGATTGTGAACATTTGCATCACTGCGAGAGAAATTATCTAGATGAAACGAAAGCACGTCTATTATAGCTTCGTCATCGGCTCTGGAAAAGTTTCGAAAATACGAAGCTTCGTTAGCTTTGTCGACTTTAACATTGCTGAGGCTAAGGAAGACGGCCTGATGATCGGAAATTCCTGGCATGATTTGAGATGTGGCGTTCTCGAAAATGTTACCGCTTACGAAGAAAAGATCTAGTAGAGTCTTACTGCTATCCTGAATTCTTGTGAAGCCTTCAACAACTTGAGTAAGGTCAAAGGCAAAAGCAATATCAAGCATTGCCTCTCCTACCTTGTCATTACGAATTTTGGGGGACATTGTTAGCCAGTCAACATCAGGCAAATTAAAATCACCGGATAGGATTATCCGATCATCAGGTTTGACATGGTCACATAAATACTCCTTCAACACATCCATGGTAGAAGCATCAGAGTTAGGGGGTCTGTACATGGCACCAACAATATACCTAAGGCCGCCACTATAGGCTTTGCAGAATAAACACTCAATGTAGGCAACTTCAGGCATCAAGAATACGTTAAGCGCACTTTTGTAGATTATACAAACTCCACCACCCCTACTACCACGGTCTTTCCTGTAAACTCGGTATCCTGATGGAACGAATTCACTATCGTATATTTCATCACTGAGCCATGTCTCAGTCAGTATAACAATATCAGGATCGTTAGCAATAATTAGCCCCTTAAGCTCTGTGCTTTGACTACGCTCCTACAATTGATGTTAAGAAGTTTCAAGAATCAATCATCATTTTGCCTTTGTCAAACCCGCCTATCACTTTTCAACTGAAAGCGGCATTTCTTGTCACTGTCCCAACCGTACATAACGCCGTTTACACTTAGCTTATCATAGATAAGCTTTACCTTAGCCCCTTTTTCCTTTTCGGCTTGAGCAGTTTTCCAAAGCATCCTTCGCTGCTCACGGACATGATGCGAAAAATCTTCCGCAATAGACAATAAAGTGCCTTTAAGTTTATGCGAAACTTTTAAAATTGACAGCTTTTCTT